TTGAAAATAATCTGATTTAGAGTGCACGTCACATAAGCATGAAACAATTCTTAACATGTATTGCTAAATAAGATTTAGTTATCAACTAACTAAGAATTCAACAAAGCATAAACACAATGCCAATTATTTAGATTCCTTTGTAGCATTGTTCTCAATTCTTAGTTAGTTGATAACTAAATCTTATTTAGCACTACATAGTTAAGAATTGTTTCATGCTTATGTGACTTGCACTCTAAATTCAAAGAGATATGGCACTTCAAAAACACTAAATTTTGCTTAGAAATGTTTGGCGAGGTTGTAACAAGTCAAGGTCAACCTCGATCTCATGCCAACAGCCCATACATTTCTTTGCAAATTTTGGACTTTTAAACGTATCTCCTTGAATTTTCATCGAATCTTGCTCAAACCTGGTAAACATACTAATTTTACACTGTTCTCTCCAGTGGTGGTAATCGTTTTTCATTATTTGCTCAATTTCTAATAACTGTGTTTATCTGCGAAGTGGGTTATTCTTTTGTGCATGTTCACTGGACCAAACTAAAGTTGGCTATTGAGGAATAAAAGACTCATTTTTTATTTCATCCATCAGCAAAACAATTACTACTAGTCTTGAGTGTTTAATAGAGTGGTTTTCATTAACACGTGAAACACACTTTAGCGTATTTAAGCATGTCGTCTTTTTCGTTTTTTATCGTCTCTATGACGATCTGTTACAATCTAATTATTACACTTTGTTTCACGGGTTTATAAATATCACTTTAGTAACTATTAGGGTGTAGTAGGCTACCAAAAGGCAAAATCAAAACCGTTTTTTGTCACATAGCACAACAAAGGCCCTTTGCAGCTGGGGGTCACGTGACCACACATACCTTGAATCAATCAGCAATGATTGTTTATTCTATTGTTTTTTATTCTAGGAATGAGGCTGCTCCTGTCTGTACAAAATCATGTTCAGAAATGGAAAGAGGGGATCAAAATAAGAAGACAGTTTAAACACTAAATATTTCAAAATTGATAGCAAATATAAAATCATTTTTTTCCCTAAAGAAACGAACATCATTTGAAAGCTGATTGATTTAAGGTAGGTGTGGTCACGTGACACCCAGCTGCAAAGGGCCTATTCCTATTCCACAGATAGATAAAAATGACTCTGTATGTCTATTGTTCTACTGGACATCTTTGTTGTTGTTTCTTTTTTTGCCCATCTGTTATTTAGACAAATTGCAATCTTGGTTCTTTAATACATTAGGATTTTGAGCTAGTAGTGATCAATCACAAACCAGTGCAATTMGTTTTCAAAGTAGTACTTGTGGCAATTCCAGTGTTGTTATTATACTTAGCACTAAATTTGCTGCAAATATACAGTGTTTCAGGGTTTGTGATTTTTTAAATACTTCATGGATTAAGTAAAACTTTTTTTTTTGTACTACAGCAACTTGTAATTCCATATTATCTATACTGAGCTAATTTCCTCATGATGTTTGTGCCAAAWACATGTACTCCATGATTGCATGATCAACATTTCTCAAAAACCCTTATAACACTGTGCAATTTTACAGCAACTTGTTTTGTAAAAACATAACATGTTTCATGTCTTGAATGTTTGTCCTCAATAAAAGGAATGCAATGATCAACTGTAACATTTTTAGTAAATATACAGGATAAAATATTCTACATTGACTGGAATTAAAATATTACATTTGTTYATGGCCAGATTACGATAAAAACACAATAAAATTACAGCATAAAATTAACCAGTCGCCAAAGAAACCAAATATYCTTTACAATGAAAAATGTTCCTACATCTGTAAGTGTTGATAATGTTCTTTGTGAATAGCACTTTGTCCATCAAACAATGTTCACATGAAGTTTGAGCCAACACTTTTTGCATAAATACTGTTCTCAATAGTACGTGAATGTTCACAGGTGATTGTTGAAGTTATCTACAAATTGAAATCATCCACTTTACTCATCATTGCCAGCTCCTTGCATATATTGATCAAGCTCGGCATCCAAGTGACTCTTGGTGTGGGTCATATAATCATCAAGTTCTTTATCAAGATCATCCTTTGACTTTGCTGGGTTGTTTTGGCCACCTCTTCCTCTACCTCTAGAACCACCTCTGCCTCGCCCACGTCCACCACGTATCTTTCCACCTCCACGGCCAACCTGCATTCCTCTTCCAGCACCTCTACCAAGTCGATTTTGGGTACCTCTACCTCGTCCAGCAGATGAGAGACCACCACGCTTTGAGACAAATCCACCACGCTTTACTCCAATTCTTCCAGGAGCTATCTTAGTTTGCTGTCTACCACCACGATTAGCTGTTCGTAGTCCTGTCATCTTATTTCGACCAAGTCTTCCTTGAACTGATAGTCTATTCTGGTTYCCTAGTCTGTTTTGCACACTTGTGTCACGTTGTGGCTGTCCAAGTGCTGCTTGGACACCTGGTCTGTTGGCCATTTGAGCTGCTAGTCTGCGATTCTTTGCACTTGCATGGAACTGTTGCATTTGACCCATCCGCAGGCCGCTGAGTGTTACTTGAGGGGGTGACTTTAACTGTCTTGATAATTCCGTGAAGCTTGAAGAGGGAATGAAGGACTTGTTGATGGGCATAATTCAAACAGCAATATTTCAATTTACTGAATTTATAGGCTTATATGCCCAAGGGGTTGAGCTTTGAGAATRATCTCATTTCTAAGTGCAAGCACTTGTTTAAGAGCTGAAATAGCTCTATATTTTCAGGCTTATTAAAAAATACATTTTTGGCTTTTACAACATCTAAATAACATGTTATTCAGATAATTTTTCACAGTCACCAGSAGGAGACGTGAATTTTGATAAGATTGTAAGCCTGTTTGCTCATTTTTTCCCCTGAAAAAAGTCCTTAAAACCATTTCCTTTGGCTGTTCTCACCGGTCATTGAGTGTCTTGGACGTTGTGCTCTTGAGGACAATCTTTGCTGGTAGAGCAGACATCTCTGATGGCAAAACAAAAACGAAAAGAACATGTATATCCAGTTAGTGAAACTAAATATTTTCAATCATCAAATTCGCATTTAGGAAGCAATCAGACATTAGCTATACACGAGAACATTTAGACATCCTTGCATTCAAATATTACTTTCTCAACTAAAAACATATAAAAATCCTTTACTTTTTCGACTAATATTAGCTCTTAACAATACAAATTTCTTCACTTCTTAATACAGACATTTACGACCACACAAATAAGCTTAAATTGTTTTATCACAGAAGCGATATTAAACAGCGAGTTGACAACAACAATGCGACGAAGAATTCTTCATCGATGAAAATGACAATAGTAGCGAATTGTGATGAATGAAGAATAAAAGAAGCATCGTAAATAATGAAACATCAATACAAAATTATTGTGTACTTATGTTTACTGGACGATGAGCGAAATTTCTCGGCGATTTTCTTGGATATGTTTCACCGATAGCTCCGGCTTGTTCTTCTTCTTGTCAAAGATTCTGGCGTCTCGGTTTTAGTCCTCGCGCGGAAGTAATAGCACAGGACACCCAAGCAAAAATCTGGTTTGGAATACACTATTTCGTTCTTTTCAATTCTTTTAATGAATACAAATAKACACGTTTAACTGTTCCACAAAAGATTTTATTGTATTGGGATTATTATGTGGTTGATCTAAGGAGAGTTCTAAAAGATACCCGCGCSTAAAAGGGCGTGGTAACACAAGACTTCGCTCGAGCATCGGGCTTCATTCGCGCTCAATATTCMCCCATTCCTGAGAGTAAAAGAGAGTCTGACTTGGGCAAGTCTAAGTTCCTCGATCAGAAGAAGCTCAAACACTTAATATGCACACTTCTTATATTATAACATACACCTGAAGCAGCTTAGGAAGTAAAAAATAATTCCCATTCCGCTAAAATGTTTTGTAAAAAATCTTTCTTTTCAGGGGAGTATCCACAGGGGGGGGATCACAGGGTACCCATGACCCCCCTTTCAAAGCCAAAAAAGCGCGAAAATAATAGATTGATATGACATCATATTCAATACTTTTTKTCTTTCAATAACTTAATTTAAAGAGTACATTCTTTGCAAATAAAGCATCATCAAATAGAGTTCAAGCTTCAATTGTTGCCCTTTATTTTTCTTTTCTTTGGTTTTGACTGTAAAAAAAAAACCCTGCTGCTTGGTGGCTTGAGCGTCGCACAACCAACTGCGAGAAATTATTGACACCACATACATATTTCCTTCTGTGGAAATCTCATGACCCTACCTAAATATGCATCAAACTTCTAAATTTTATTCGTGGAAAACTCCTAATTGTTACATAAATTTATGTCCTAACAAGGAGAATTCAATCAAAATTCCTGTGAAACAACTCTTAATGTGTAGATTTCTTGTGTATCAAATATAAAAGACCTTGTTTCTTAATTAAAATAAATGCCAAAATAGGCACAGACAGTTATCCCAATACTGCTATAGACCTTTTCGTGGTTGTTGCACGTATCTGCCTCACTTTGGTGTAAAACCACAGGCTCTTTGCACAACCACAAAAAGGGCTATTTTACTACAATAATACAGTACACAAACTCTACATAAATTAACTATAAATATATTGGCTAACAATCTAGGAATGTTATTTGATGTCTGCATGTGGAGAAGAGTCAGACTGAATGCAGCTAATTTAGATAATTATGTTAATTGCACAAGCAATAGTTTTGTTAGTAATATAAAATTAAAAATTAAAGATGGAATAGTTGCATCCCTGCATATGTTTATAGATTATGTAGGTGTTTCAAGAATTTGCTGTGTGCATAAATATTAACATAAAATTTATTATAGCCTGCATCACATCTCAATAAAATGACTTGATGCTGTGCATTTAATAAACGTTGCATAGGCTGTCAAACCCAGAATTATTCATAAATAGTGTGGCATATCCAAAACCCATTGCACGAAGGATGAACAAAATTATCCAGCATGCTAAGTTATCTGTACTCCATAGATTTTGCATGGACTATTGATAAATAAGGATTTTTCTGGTTGATGATGTTATTCAACCTTCATGTAATTTGTCTCATGGAGTCAATTAGCCCTGACAATGAGTACTTGTGTCCAAACTTAAAATTTTAGCAATTTCAAGCACAGAATCTTCATCCAGTAAATTAAGGAGCAAGCAGGCTATAAAATATAATGAGACAAAAATTTGATAAAAGGTTACCAGTTGACCTGTTCAAAATACAATCATATTAGCTTAATTATAATACATACCAAAAATTTATTTTGTCTAAAAGAATGGCTATATTTTAGGGGCATTCTTTGCTAAAATAAGATTTTATGAATAGTAGGTGTTACATAATACTCAGTTCCATAATTAATAGTTTCTTAAAATTGTCTAATACAATTTTTAAAATTTAACTTATTCCTGGTATCTTCATACTCCAATTTCTAGTTCTGGTTTGCTCTCTGTTAGCTTCAAAACCAATCAACATATTCCTGTTGTTAGCCAGAGAAAATGCATGGAATTTGAAAAGAAAGACTTTTCTTTTCCTAAAGAAATACATTGTATTCTGACTTAATTACATCCATGTAAAAACTTATTAGTTGCCATCTTATAATGATAGAAAAACCTAAAGGAAAGAATTTATAATGTATAACGTATGCAGTATTTCCTCTACAATACCATAAAATACAATATGATGTTTACACAAACTTTGTGTCTTCAAAGTGTCATTGATGCTATGCATCTTTCCTAGAATTGTTTTGTTGTTAAATTTAAATTGACATTATAATCCTAATTTATTAAAAGAACTTCTTAGCAGCAGCTTCTTTCTGATTTCTATATGTTATATAACCTACTAACATTACTATCTGAGCAATAATGAGAAATACAAAAGAGCCTGGTCCAATACAATGAACTGGTGGTGGGGGTGGGGGACAATCCTTCTTTTTGTCACCTGCAAACTGATGAAATAAAATGATAAGTTAGTCTCGGAGTATTTTAACAAAATGAACCCAAAGAATACGAAGCATATTTCAATTCATTTTTCAGGAGGGTGGCTGTAATAGACCCCTTGCAGTTTGTGGGAATGCAACTCCAACTGGAGGACAAAACAATGGACTCTAGTTCCAAAAAAGGTCAAAAATCTTTTGTATTGTCCTTTTAGCTGCTTTGTGACATTGCAAGGGGTCTATATTTTTGTTCTCTTGTTTCCAAAATCAATAGGAGAGTAAGTGAGAGCATTTTTCACACTTAGCAATAGATACTCCTAAAATGCTTCACTTAATAAGACGTTGCAAATAAAAATCTGAAGAGATATATTAACTTGTTTAAACTTGCTTAAATCTGCAAAATTGTTAGGCAAATGAATATAGTGTCTGGTGGCTCATTGACAGCCCATGCTGTCTCCCATGCAGACCTTTCTTGCAACTTTTTGAAATTTTGCAAAGTGAGTCCATGGATATTATGAAAAGCACTTTTAGTGATTGATTGACAAACAGRACAAAACAGAGGGTTTGTACTATGATTACTGAATGTTGTGTTACCTGTTGTTTAGAGGCCATGTTGTTGACAGTGTGTACAAGTGAATCCATGGCACCCTGCATATCATTAAGTTGACTTGTTACACCAGTATCATCTGCACTGCGTCTGTCCATTCCTCCTGTCTTCATCCCACTGATTGCATTCCTAGTGATACACAGAAACTTATAGTACTTCTCCATATACTTCAGTTCAAAGAGGCAATTACATAATAAGTTCCATACGGCCATGACACAAGTTCATGATAATAATCATGTTTCAATTCCTTATAGATTTGAACTATATATCACACTAAAGGTTCACCTAAGAACTTTCTTATTTCTATAATTTTCCTTATATGATTAGATTTTCTGTTTAATTGGTGCATAAATGCACTCTTTATTTTTCAGTCTTTCTTTGGTCTTACAAGAAAATACCAATTAAAATTATAATACATTATTGAAACCTAAACAATTTGCAATTAATAATGGATTTATGAAAATATAACTTACTTGATATCCTCTAATTTAGTCAGCATTTGTTGTTGAACACTTATGATAGAGCCAACTTCTTGTCTATTAATAGTCTTGTCCATTGTTACCATGTTGGACATGCGATTATGGTCTGTTGATACCAGAGTATGAAGAGTGTTGGCTTGGACAGTTAGTTCTCCTGTCTTGGCATGGAGTTGACTGAACATACACAAAAAGACCAATAATGAATCAAATTCATTAAATAACCTGGCCTATTAACCCTAACCCAAGTTTTAGTTGGGTCAAATACAGCCTTAGTGCCAAGAAACATACAGTTCAAGGTTGAGTCAATGTCATCATTACAATTAAACTGGGAGCCTCCACAGACACCAAATGGCCACACAACAAAATATGTAATAGCATACTCAACAGACAGGAATCTACCTGATGAACAGTGGAATGCCACATAAGTGTGCAACAATTCTTAAACTTACTTGAGCATGTTGTGGATGGCATTCTGTCCTTCATAAACAAGACGAATATCCCTCTCATAAGCAGACTCATACTGTAATGGAATAAAAAAATAGAAACTATTTATTATAACTWATAAATTAATACTGGTAGAAATTAGTTATTGCTTAGGTTTTAGATTATATTCAATGACATTGTTACCATTTACTTAAAAAACAGTTAAGTAATAAAATCAGTAGCAGCACAGCCAATGTTTACCTGCAATTCATCCTTTTTGACTTTGTCAGGATGTGCCTGTGCATACCTAACAATAAAAATAAAATCATGAAACTATTTCATAAACTAACAAACATTCTAAGTCTGTAGAAACTGGTTAAAAGCCTGTACATGTTGAAAATAAATTCAAGATAGGTTTCTTTCATTTTCATTCTATATATGCAAGGGAACCTAGTTAAGAAGCTATTAGACTTTCACCAGCTCCCTTYAATCTGCAGGACAAGGGAGTCTGACTTAAATGTTCACTGAATTCTCAAAATTTTCTTTATTATTTAAATAATTAGTCTAAAGAGAGTCAGACTTGTAGCAAGTCATGATCAAGGGATGTATTATATATGATGAAATAAAATACAATGGAATTCATAACTATAAATTCTCTACATGTCTCTTACTCTTCCTTTTGCTTCTCAAGGTTCTTTTGGTACTCCTCATACTGCTTGGTTAGTTTGTCCTGTTCTTCCTGGGAAAGACCTCCTTGTGTTGCCTGAAAAGTTCATTAAAGAAATTGAAGAAAAAGTGTAAACAATTTGTGTTATTTTTTCAGTGGCATCCCCTGTTTGGAAATGCATTATGCATGTGCATTCTGCATRTTRTGAAGTAAGGTAATTGTAATCAAACATACCGCATCTTTGGAGGGAGGAGTWAGTGTCAAAGTACTAAATGACAAGACATCATGATCATCTGAAACAAGAGAAAATATACATCAATCCCTCTGTGTGACAGACAAACTTCAGTGCTTGAAAGATAACAACCTATACATCCAGTAAAAAATGGCAGTTTGGTGTTTATATGTAACTGACACATGACCAATCCATTCTGCCAAGACTTTCATTTGTGGAACCCTCCCCTCAGCATGCTCTTCAAGAATCCAATATTGTATGCTAATAGGAGTGACTTGAATATTGGTCAAATTAACATTATTATTTTCTTAAATCTAAATACATGTAATCAATGATCAGATTTTTCTTTATATATGATAAAGAGCTAATATTATAATTAAGTGAGGGTACAAATATCAGCTTACCTGCAAGCCCCCCTGTAGCAGCTGATACTCCAAAGAAACCTTCTTTAGCTAAATGAACATTCTCAACCCTGGTGCAAAGTTCAAAATCTTCTGGCTTTGTACTCATTCCCATATGAAACCAAAGCTATACAAGATACACAATGTTAATGTTGTAAATTTATACCAATACACGAATCTCATAATGGCCGGCACTACTTGTAATTAGCATATCATCTCTCAATTCATAATGTTCACAAAAGAAAACACTCAAATGGTAGATATCAAAGCCAAAGATAAACTCTGAAAGTTTCACAGAAAAATATTTTAGTCCTCTTGAAGTTATAAGGGTTAGAAGAGGTACAAAAACACCAAAATGAGGCTACCCATTCACCAGCAAAGAATAGTCGAGTTTCGCGATCTCTTTTA